GCACCGATGTAATGAATGAGAATGAGCTGAATGTGTTCCGCTTTATCAAAAATGACATGAACTCTCTCTAATTTAAACGTTAAAAAGAGATAGATAATGTTTTTCTGGATGGTCGGGGATTCCCGGTAAAATTAAATGCATGCAGTGCGGTGCTCCGATTTGAACACTGAGTTCCATTCTAGTTTTTCCAACATAACGATTTTTTCGCTAAATATAGGGAATTTACGAGTAAGTAGGCCTCGCTCAATTACCAAGAGGAAATGAAGGGGCGCCGCAGGCGCCTCTCGACTGCACTGCAAATTGATTTGATCTTGTACATGATATTTATGAATAATTTGCTATATTTCAGTGTAAAATATTAACGGAGATATAAGAAAAAATATGTATAGTTTTTCAAAGCCTCTCACCAACAAACTAAACATGCTAAACAGCTGAAACTGTGTTTTATATTGGTACACGAGTGTACCAATATAAAAAAATCGGTGATCGAAGGTATTTAGCCTGCGAAATTTGAACATTCACCTCATTTTTTAACTGACCTCGTATTTTCATTGTTATACATACTTTGCATATTGAAAAATGGTAAAATATTCACAAAGGTATCTTCCTCTGATCTGCATTCCTGTGAGGAGGGTACAACTGTTTATCCGTTTCGGTGAGTCCAGTTCTGGATTTGATGTATATGGTACCTTCAGTTGTATATAAAAGGTTCTAACTTAGTTGAAGATTCAGTTTCAATTATCTCCTGATGATGCTAACTTGTTTAGCAAAAAGCACGCGAAGAAAGCGTGCTTTAGTTATAGTATGTGAAAAAGGCTTTCATTAGATTAATTTTATGACATTGCAATTCTACCTATCAATCGAAATAGTGACATGATAATCAATTACAAAAAATCTCCTCAGTAGTTATTATTCATTTCCCTTGAATTTTTTACAATTTATTTTTAAATTTTAAATTTTGAATTTTTCATTCATGAAACCTCAAGAAAGAAAAAATATTACGGATAAATATACTTTGATTCATTATTAATCTGTTTGATTGGTTTGGATTAAAATAGTTTGTTTAATTATATATTGGAATCTTTATGACCAGTAAATAGAATCCCGAAAGGCTACTCCTTTTTGGGGGGTTAAATCAACAGTCACTAAGTGAAAAGTTAATTTTTTTTTCATGCAAACAATTTTGTATAAAATATCTATTTCATTAGTAATTTTTTCACAGATTCGGAAAACGTTTTTGTTGAAACAGAGAATGGAACGTTCATCGAGAAGAAAGAAGAGAGCTTCAATGAAAAGAAGTCATCAGCATTATGTCAAAAGGAGTTTGGCATTGCAAAAGATCATATTGTGAAACCGTATCAGTGCAAAATCTGCTCGAAATCATTCATTTGGAAATGTCATTTAAAAAGACATGAAAAAACCCATACAGGGGAGAAATCATTCCAATGTAAAATATGTCTTAAGTCATTTGTTGAAAGAAGTAATTTGAAAGCCCACGAAAGAATTCATACTGGTAAAAAGCCATTTCAGTGTAAAATCTGCTTGAAGTCTTTTAGTCATAGTAGTAGTTTGAAATCTCACGAAAGAACACATACTGAGAAAAAACCATTTCAGTGTAAAATCTGTCTGAA